AAAAAAAAAAGGAAAATCAGATTGTGTTATTGAGACCCAGTTTAAACTAATTCAGGCACTTCTATCCCTAACATAAGCAGTACCTTGGCTTATATTGGGCCTCTCTGGTCCTCATGGAAAACTTGAGCTTCACATGACCACATTTTGTCTGAACTCAGTTTATTTATGCAAGTATTTTGGACCCAATTTTCAATTGTGACCATCTAAGCAAGGTTTGTATCACAGTCCAGGGCCTAGGCATGGAATTACTACCCCAGGGAGTTCAGTTTTGCTTTTCACACTTCGACAATCTAAGAAACAGTTTGATTTATTAAAGTAAAAATGCAGGCTGACAAAAACCCACCATCTCTTGTTTTGTGGTTTGGCTCCACTTAACAAAGACAAATCAAACTATGACAGTGATTGCAATAGGTGTGGCTTCAGAACTATTCGATGCTATTGTCATGCAGAGAACACAAGGGCAGGTGAGACACACTTCTCCTGGAATACACTGATGTGTGGAAACAGCAGCTTCTTTAATGACTCTGACAGAATTCAACATGTTTATCTGCTCATGATCCCCCTTTTTTCCCTCTTCAGTTACCAGCGTCCCCAGTTTCTCTATGAAGTGGGGCAGTACTGCAACAGCATCCCTCTTCTGCACACCAGATTTATGCCAAGAGGTTCCTCTAGAGAGCACCCATTTCCTGGAGTTCAACTCTGTCGYTCTTCCCCTCTGATTTTATGTTGAACTGCCAAAAGCCAGTGAGGGCTTTCTCCGGCAGCAACACTTCTTCAATACACTTAACCCAGGCAGGCAGCCAAGGCAGCTTAGAAGAAACTGTGTATTTCCAAATACCCCTTGGTCCAGGGAACGGCTCGAGGCCTACAGTCAATAATTAACTATTGCAACAAGTCCCTAACTCCGGTGTACAGCCGCCCCCCCGGGGGAGGCAGCTCGCAGGGGGCGCGGAGCGGGTCGCTGGCACTAACCGGGCCCTCCCCTGCACTTGTTTTTCGGCCGCACTGGCCCCTGGCAAGGCCATCTCTGGCACAGGGGGAATTTGCCCACCGGGTCGCGGCCAGCCGCCGCCACGGCCGAAGCTGAATCCCGGCACTGGCAGGGCCGTGACCGGGGCCGCTCCCCATCGCTGGGGGGAGACGCGAGGGCCCCCGAGTGGAGCCCACGGTGGAGAAACCACTGACTACCGGGAGACCCCAGGACTGCTGGAGGAGACAGCCCAGCCCGGGCCAGGGCGGGCAATCCTGGGCTGCAGCACCCTCAGTTCCTGAGGCGCCTCAGCGACACTCGCGGAGGGCGGGACCCGCCCGCACCGACAGAAAAAAGCCCTYAAACACAATCCCGCCCCTCGGAGCCCCGCTGCGGGGCGGGGGTGCCGCACCCGGGAGGGGAAGGACAAACGGTGCTGTGCGGCAGCCGAMCCTGCGGCGCGCTGGGGCGGTGCCCATCCCCGTTACCTGCAGCGGTGGCCCGACACCGTTCCGATCGGTGCAGCGGCGAGTGCGCGATGCGGGGCCGGGCCGTGCGCGGGGCCCTTTATGTGGCCGCGCCCCCGCCCCGCCCCGCCGCCGCAGCGCCCCCTGCTGGCCGCGCCCTCTGCTGGCCGCGCCAGGCCCCGCCCCCTGCTGGCCCCGCCCCCCGGCGGCGCGCGGTTTATTAGGGCCGCCAGGAGGCACGAGCCTGCCAGCCGGGTCCGCCCCGGTGTCCTCGTGCGAGGGGCCCGYCGCAGCTCGCACCGCGCCGCCGCCGTTCCGGGCCGGGCCCGTTCCGCGCTCTGCCGCCCCCGCGGAGTGAGTGCCCGCCGTCACAGGGAGCCCGCTGGTGTCGGGGCGTTTGTGTCCCAGGGAGAGCTCTGCAGCCTAGCCCAGGGGTGCGGTACCCGCAGGGGACACGGACTCGTCCGCTGGCGCAAAGGCGGCGGTGTCGACACCACGTCCCCGAAGCAGCCGCACTGCCCGCCCTGAGGGGCAGGAACGGGTACCTCGCCGGGGCCGGGGCTGGGTCCAGGCGGGGAGCGTGAACGGGAAAGAACCCCGGGTCAGGAATAGAACAAAAGGGGTGTTAGTGAAATATATGGCTTCCCGGAAGACACACAGGCTCCGCGCACTACTACCGGCTCCTGAGGCAGCGACCCGGGTGTGCCGCGCCGGGGCGGAGCGGCCGGGAATGGCCGAGAATGGCCGGGAATGGCCGTGGGGCGGGGCCGGGCGCTGCCGGCGGTGGAGTGCGCGAAACTTCGATTGGCGATGCCTGGGCGAGGAGGGGCGCGGTCGGCGGGCGGTTGGTYGGGGCTGGCGGCGCTGCCGGGCCGGGCGGTGAGGGAGGAGCGGCGCTGCCGCCCCAGCAGTGGCACCGCAGCCGCGGGCAGCAGGTGAGCACCGCCCGCCAGGGCCGCGCCGCAACGCCGACATCGCTCTGCCGCTCTCCTGCCGTGCCAGCCTTTTCCGGGCTGCCCGGGCCCACCCCTGGTAGCGGCTGGCGGYGACTCTCCGGGGGTCGCTTCCCACCGCTTCCTCACCGTCCCGCCGCAGGTGATCTCCGAGTCTGCCATCCCAGGTGGGGGAAGGCAGCGGTGTCCCCTTCACAGAGGGACAGCRAAGCAGTTGGCGTAGCTCCGGCGCAGAGGTTGGAAGTGAAGCGTGCATGTCACGCAGTTACGTTTAAATTTTGGGTGTTTTGCACCCGGGGTGTGTTATCCAGGTGCCCGGGAGTAGCGTCTGTGTAAGGGAGTGGCCGTCTCCTTGTGGCACTGAGCAGTTGCGGTCAGTTTTGTGGGACGCAGGATGTACCGGAGCGGCTCTGGAGGATGGAGGCTCGTAGCCGCCCTCGTGCTGCGCATTTTAGCGGTGGTGAGTTGGCGACTGCTGAAGCTGCAGCTTCAAGCGGGTTTAGGTACATTCGCCGTGACTGTTGSTGAGGATCCTGAGAGGAATGTACTCTGGTTATCTGCTTGTTGACTGATTTGTGCACCTTGCTTTCTCATTTCCCATGTTCTAGGAATAAGTGACTATTTCCTAGTTTTTTGTGGTGGGCATGAGGGAGAGTCTTTTCCCTTTAGTAGGACAACTRAAGCACAGAAAGGCTGATAAACTCCATGGCTAGTGTGTTACACAGCACAGAAAATCCAGGTGTTTCTGAAGTAAATGGCAGGTACAATTCTCTTCATTCATTTTAGTTAGGCCAATAATGCTGTGGTAGAAGCCATTACTGTGGGGTTTTTTTCCCCTAGAAAGTTTATTTTTTTTTATAATCACATATATAATATATATAAATAATGCATCTTCAGAGACTTGCTTGTAACTCCTACTTTGCCAGGCTGTACTCATTTACTGAAATAAGAATATGGTTTCCTATAAAGCTGTTTGACTTCACAGTGGCATTTTTAATGTAGTAGTGTGTGTGAAGGTATAGCCTTGTTCTTTGTTGAGCGTTTAAAAAGCAAGCTCTTAGTTAGTTGCCTTAAGATTGAAAAAACAATTCCAAATTTACCCAAAGATGTATTCTTGAAGGAAAATGTTCCATGAAGCTTGGTGTTTAAGGACATTCAAATCACCTGTTTGGATAATATTGCTCAAATGAACAACAAAACRTACCCTGATTAACAGAGGAGAGGATTGTGGAAGACTCAGCCTTACACAAAGAAAATGACCAAAGTTGCTCTTGAAACTTAGTAAATGATGCCTCTGTGCTTTCTTTCCTGAGGATATGAGAACCTCTGAGCTGATGGTGCTTATATACAGAGCAGCAAGCAGAAGTCCATTGAGAAGTCATGTGAATGACTTGCAGATGCCATCTTTTCTGCATTCTTTGTAGGAGTAGTCAAACCTTGCCCCATGAATTTCATGCAGCTTGTTAGCACTTCCAGTGTCACTTGCCAGTCATGTGGATTTTCTTTGGGCTGTGCAGATTTTTATTAGTGTGGCTGGCTAGAACTTGGAAGAAAATATTCTAGTCAGCCTATAGGCCTGTATGTTCTAGGATACAATTGTGGGAACTGGAAATGGTTATTTCGTGAGGAAGTATGTATCAGCTGCTAAGCAGGAAGTAGGCTCACACAGGGTTTTGAGCCATGGCACAGGTAAAAATCAGCCATCACTGATAGATTTCATCAGCTCTCCTTGTTCATGCTCTGTCAAACATTTCACTAAGTCTTGCATAAGCAAAGATGAAGGTAGTAAGCACCTTAGCCTAGCAGGCTAGAAGTGCAGGATGAGTGAGGTGTTGTGAAAGAAATTGGGTTCAGGTTAAAGGTTATGGGCTGTGGAAAAGTATGACTCTTGGCTGTATGGAAGCTTTGGTACACAGAAAATAAGGTTTGCAAGTATGGCTTCTCCTAATACAGAAAGTAGTTTGGGGTTTTTGGTTTTTTTTTTTCCTTAATGTAGCTACTCCTTAAAACAAGGAAGTTTGGAGGTGTTTGATTCTACAATCAGTAAACCAGAGTTGAGGTTGCTTCCCTGGTAACTTGCATATGGCCCTGTATTGTAACACAGAGGGGAAGGAAGTAGTCTCCCACCGAGCTTAATTTTTCAGTCCTGCATTTGTTTGTAGTTCACTCTACTTCTCATTCTGAAGTCAACCTGGCCAAACAACAAGTCTGCCTCGTGCTTGCTCAGGCATGCTTGTTTTCAGTTTTGTTACAAGGGCAGCAGAAGTCACAACATTAGGAGAAGAGCTGTCAAAGTTAAAACTTCTTTGTGATGTGCATGCAGAGTGTCTATTTGAAAACTTCAAGTTGCCATAAAGCTCAACTAGAGTGTGTTATCAGTGTAGTGGTTGTTTGCTTTGTTGCTCTGGGTGTTTAACGAGGCACTCTGAATTGCCTTCTGCAGAGGTACTGCTCTCTTGTCAGTGGCTGGGCAAGGGGGCATGGGCTCCTCTGGCACTCCTGATCTGTCTAGTAGCAGATGTCTGTGGTCAGTTGGGTGAATGTCTCTTCTCTTGGCTCTAATGAGAGACCTCCTGTTCAGAAGACTGAAGAGGTTCTGTTTCACCACCTCGTGTGTGATGTGTTGCTGAACTCTTTCCAGGGCACGTGAAATGGCTGCAGATGACAAACGGTCTCCAACACTGGACTCTACGAGTGATCTACCTCATTCTCCCAGCAGTCCATCTCATCTCACCCACTTCAAACCCCTGACTCCTGACCAGGATGAGCCTCCTTTTAAATCAGCCTACAGTTCTTTTGTAAATCTCTTCCGTTTCAGCAAAGGTAAGTGCTGGGGGGATGTGTGTGCATAGGTTGTGCATGCCCTTTGCTTGTAAAAACACCTCTGAACATAGGAGCATCATGTCAAAGGCTGCTGTCATTTCTTTGGTGARGGGTGTTTCTTCTTGCTTTTTGCTCTTCTTGGCATTGTAGAGCTTAGTTATGAGAGAAGATAGCCATCATCTTGCAGCTGGACGTCTCTGGCTGCCCATGAAAGTCAGAGATAAGCCAGTTAGCAGATAGTATTGTCTAGATTCTTAACTTGGCATCAGAATTTCTTTTGCCTGTATGATTTTTTTTGGGGGGCTGGAAGTAGGAGTAACCCTTTGCCAGCCTGTATGAACAAAATGTGTGCTTCCAGTGCAAGTTCTTACTTCAGACTTCAACCATCCCTCACTTTCCTGTGCATCTTGTACCTTCAGCTAGGTGATGGCTGAGCTGCAATAAAGCAGGAAGTCCACATTTAATTTGCATGGCTTAGGTGTTCCCCATCAAGAAGTCTGAAGTATTGTGAAAGCTTTGTATATTGAAAGGTATTATTTGATTTTGGCCCTTSTGCTGCATGTGTCATGAAATACATTCTCAGTAGGCAAACTCTACAAGAGCTGTGTGAGTTCCTTTTCATTTCAAAGAAATATCCTGTGAAGAGGGGTGAATGAATGCACCTGCATTTTGTGCAAAATCTGTGTATCCCTTTACTGGAGAGGGCAGACCGGTCAGCTGCTTTTGTTTAGTCTGTTCATTATCCAGYTCTGCTGAGCATACTTCAGCAATGTTTGGGCTGGGGGAAAAGAGCCAAGACAGCTTTTTCAGAGCACACTGATCTGTTCAGACTCTTCTTTTGCAGAATGAGAAATAATTACATGGTGTAACTGCTATTAGTTTGCATAGTAGAGTAGCATCTGTCATTGCTAATTTATTGAAAGTAGCATAAAATGTGATCAATATTGGTTTCACGTGTGTGTTTGAGAAATGTAGCTGGAGTCAGCAAAGTCTTATGTTGAGTGAATGGGAAAACAACCTTCAAACAACACATGAAATTGACATGTTGCTGGAATCAATGAGAACCTGTCTATACTTGATCTGCTGATGGAAATGAAAGGCTGCAATAACTTTAATGTGGCYGCAGTAACGGCTTGTAAAATACCTGAAAAACTCTTTTCAAGATAGAAGCTGATAGTCAAGTGTAGCTATTCTATTTAGCAAGAATAAATAATGTTAATATTCAAGAGTAATTGGCCAGCTTTATTTTTCTTTATTTTTATTTTTTATTTTCTCTTTTCACATTAGGGAATCTCTGAAATAGTCTGAGCCTTGAAGACAAGTTCCAGATACTGTCCTGTTTCCATGATGTGTATAGTACTTTTAAAACTAAAAATKGATTTGATTTTTTTTTTTGTTTAATTTTAATCCAAAAGAGCTATTTGTGAGAGKTTTTTTACCCTTAGCTTTGCGTGCACTGCTGGTTTTCTTTATCATGTCTGAACAGTTGGYTTCTTGCTTTKTGTCATTTCYAGATGATAGCAGGCTTTCATCACCGGCAGAGAGAACAGAGGCAGGACAGAGTGATCCACAGGCATTGAGTGGTGGCTGGTCCAGTCCTCAGCATCCCACCAGGGCTCAGTCTCTGAGATCACMGATTCATTACAAAAAACAACTGACTGGTGAGCTGCAAAGAAGATCATCTGCAACTCTGGGTAATTTCACCTCTTTGTTCTAAAAGGCAGTGCTGTACTAGTCAGGATGCTTCAGAGTGAGATGGAAGGAAGTGAGCGAAAGTTCATGTCTAGATTCATGGCAGAATTTAGTATCAGGCTGTACAGCTTCTGTTAGTGAGGTTGCACTTTAACCTCAGAAGCATGTTCCCTCCACCCTTGGTGTTCCAGCAAGACAGCTTCTTGTTGGGACTCTGCTCTTTGAGTTGGAAAAAAATCTGGAATGGGAGAGGCTGCCAAAACACATCCAGTGTTTTAAAGTAATTTGAACCTTAGTCCTGGACATTTCTGCTTTTTCTTGAGAGACTAGAGTTTCTTAGCATCTACATGCTAACTCTAGTGCTTAGTGTGAATGGAGTTGATGTTTGTGTCTTCAAGGGAATTGTAAATGCAGTTTTTTGCTTGTAGCTGTTTTGAGGAGAATTGAATAAAAGTTGTGCTTAAGCTTTTTTTTTTGTTGTTGTTGTTATGTTTGATTTTGTTGTTTGTTTTTGTCCTGCCTAACCTTGTAACTGTGGCCAGATACTGGATAAAATCTTTTAGCTGGAATGGGAGTTGAATGTGAAAGGTGCAACTGTTTAATGGCTTCAGGAAGATCTGGAAGAGCTAGGAAGTAGAGTGCAGGGGTCCYGCTTGAGATCGGACTGGTTACTGTTGACTGTTAATGATAGCCTTGAGGAAACTGCTAAACTGGGTAACAATCTTGTGCAAGACAGTATTTCCAAGAGAGTGGTAACTAGTGCAAACAAATCAGAGCTTAAATTTGTTAATGTGTATGGGATTTTTAGAAAGACATGTAGTTTTGGTAACCAGGCAAAAATTAAGTCATTTGCATGCTCAGTTAAACATGTTCATCGTCTTCCTCCTTGCCCTCTAGTACTGTTTGATCTGTTCAGTTGTACTTCTTCCAACAAACCCATTTAGGCTTGGGTTATTTTTTGGTTTTGTTTTGCTTCATTTGCTTGGGCTATTTTCTAAAGAACTTTCTCAAATGTCCAAAGAACAGCCACGTGCCCTTGGCCGATGAGCCAATTTGCCTTATTCTTGGTACCTCTTGTGAATCACTTGGAAATTGCCTGGGAGTTAGAGGGTGGAAACCTACAGGTGAGGTATGTTGTTCAATATTCAGAAGACAGAAATAATCATGCTGTTTGACTTCCACAGGGATTAGGCAGCCAGGGAATAAGATTTATTTTAAGATGTGTGGGAGAAACTGTTGCCTTATTATTCCAATTCCTTTTCAGAACCTCCATTCATATCCCTGGGTTTGGATGCRAGTATGCTTAGAAAAATGGGCTGATGAATCAGCCTGTAAAGAAGTAAAGTTAGACCAAACAGGAATTGCTGGCTTTTTGAAGAGTTTCTGTGATACTGTGTGCTGGGTGGCCTGACTTGCTGTTAAGTATTTTCCCCCAAACAACCTTGGTGTTGTAACAAGCATGAGCTCTGTGTAATGCATGTAAAAGTGTCCTGGATTGATGAGGCGGTTTTGGGGGAGTTTTTTAGTCCTTCTCACTTTTTTTGAAGAAGGGGAAAAATACGTGCATTGTCCTTCTCTAAAAATCAAGCATTGAGTTTTTTTTTTTTAAGCAAACTTTAGAAAATTATTTTTCTTTCCTTTTTTTTTTTACCTTAAAAGGTGCTGAATAATCATATCTTTTGAGGGTTTCTGAATGCTGAGTAGAGGAGAATTTTACTTCTGCTATTGCAGCTGATGCTGGCCTGTGCACATAATCTTAGAAATTATTATCATATCTAAATAATGAAAAGTAGGAAAATAAGTGATGTGATTTACATAAACATCTGGATTGGTACGGTTGGTCACCCACTGAATTCAGTGTCAATGAGGTGTCTGAGTTGAGTTTTCTTGTAGCCCTGTGTCCACAGGCCTGTAAATGTCTCTCTAGGCTTTGTCATTACTTACATTAACGTGGGCAAGTGTAGGCATGAAAATATATAAGCACTTCACAAAGGTCTGTCTGGCCTACTTGATCTTAAATAATGTCTCAAGTTAAGCAAACGGAAAGGAATAAATAAATAAAAGRCTGCTGATGGTGCCTCTAAATAGTGATGATATTAAATTGCTCCTGAAGATGCTGACCCTCACACCTCATCTGTCTGTTAGCATGTACTGTCTGTGTATCAGATCTCTCATTATTTGCTGATTGCTTCAGGGAATGTGCTGGGTGACAACTGCAAGTGCAGAACAGCATGGAGGGATGACGGTTTTTGTAGGACACTGTCTGTCATCAGATACATGGGGTTTCACTTGTGTGCTTCCCTTCAGGACTGCTTGCACAAAAACATTATAATAGCTCCTTACTGACTTTGTGAAAATAGGAGGAGCTCTTGGATGCCTAGCTTATGTCAGAGATGCTCTGAGGGTTGTATGGCCAGTGCWGAKACTGCAGTGGYGTGTGTGGCCTCTCTTGGGTAGTCTGTGGCATCGTTGTGTGCTGCAGCAGGCACTGGCAGAGCTGGTGTCACTGCTGAGTGACTGTGGGCTCAGTGGGTTGTATTGGACTGCGTGTGTCTATGCTGTCAGATGAGGGCTTTCAAGGTGCTGGATTGAACYAAAACAGACTGATAATGAGACTATTGTCACGGACATAATGTCACAGCTTGCAAATCCTGTTTAAGGAGAACTGGAAATGCTGACCCATTAGAGAGGGAGCATGGGCAGTAAAAGCACTCCTAGCTTGTTACCCTGTCAGGCAGGATAATGCTGCTAATGCTACACAATTGTAGCAGATTGGCAGTAATAGGGAATGGCAAAGGAGATTAGTGGGAGTAAGAAATGGCCAGTGATCATATGGGTGGAAGAAGGCCTGAGGAAAGTGTGTGGTACTTACTGGAAATCATTGTGGAGCATGAGCTATTACCAGAGCATCTTTTCCAATGAAAAAGATTTCGAATGAAAAAGATTTCGGAACATGAAAATGCAAGTTAAGAGCAGTTTTCCTACTTCTTGTGGCACTACTTTTTATGGCAGTGACTTGAGGAAGATACAGTGTTTGAACTGTGATACTGAACTCAAAAAATGAAATTTTATGCTGTGTCAGCAAATAATTAGAAAGCAAGTGATGTTATTTTGTTTTAGTAAAGCTGTGGCATTTCTGGCAGGCGTATTTTTCTGTTCTTGAAATTGTGAATCTTGCTGTACTTCTTGTGTTAGTACGTGGCCAGCTCTCCTATAAACTGAAACTCTAAGTTGCAATGGAGTAGTTCTTGTGGTTTTTTTTGCCTTGTCATTCACTGTAAAATGAATGCTGAAATACTAGACAGTCATGAAAGAAACCATGTAAAAATATATTTCCATGGTTGAGAGTTTTTTCCCTAGATTTTACCAAGAATCAGCAGCCATAAAGACATATAGGAAGGATGAGTTTTACTGTTGAAATAACTTTTTCTTTTAGCTGTATGAGTTAAAAATTAACTTTAGAACAATAAATAGGTTAGAAATAAGTCAATTTGGAAGTCTTTTTGAAGCCCCTTTGGCATTTTCTTGAGGTTTTGTTCAGTGAACATGTAGATGGGAAGGGAATGGATAGAAAAAAGCATAATTGCTGCATGAGCTTGTATTCCTGAAAAGAAGTATTCCGTACTAATGTGAGTATTTAAGGACTGAGATGTAACAATGGCAAGCAAACGTTTCTTTTAGTAAAATATGTATATATTAGTGTATATATAATAGTATATTGCATGAGAAAGTTGGGGCTGTTCAGCCTAGGGAAGAGAAGGTTGCCTGGAGACCTCATAGGCATCTCCCCGTGTCTAGAGGGAGCCTACAGGGAAGCCAGAGAGGAACTCTTTGTCAGGAACTGTAGTTACAGGACAAAGAATAATCTAGTCAAATTGTAAGAGTGGAGATTTAAGCTAGACAGGCAGAAGAAATTTTTAACTGTGAGGGTGGTGAGGCCCTGGAAAAGGCTGCCCTGGGAGGTTGTTGATGTCCTGGCCCTGGCACTGTTCAAGCCAGGTTAGACAAGGCTTGGAACATTCTGTTCTAGTGGGAGGTGTCCCTCCCATGGCAGTGGGAGTTGGGACTAGATGATCTTTAATGTCTAGACCAACCCTTTAATATTCTGTGATTCTGTCATATGCTGAGTTTGCTGCTTCAGAAGCATCAAAAAGGCTTACCATCACATTGATGTGTAAGTGTGGTCAACCCTCTTGGGATGTCATCAAAAGGGGATATGAAAACTCTTCAGAAGTACAACTGGTGGCAGTTCAGATGATTACCTGGGCAAAGCAGAAAAAAACCACTGTTGGAGTTTCTGTGTTTGTGGAAGGAAACATGAGTTTTGCAGATTTATTGCTGAAATAAGGAAATACAGTTGCAGCACTGAAAAGGTCTAGATCTATAAATCATGCGTGCATTAGCTGAGAAAATGGCTTTAGTACTTACAATACTGCAGCTTGGATCAGGAATAAGAGTTAACCTAAGATCAAAATATGGGAATTCTTTGTAAAGGACAGTGGTTTAGACATAGTGTTTCCTTTGCAGTGGAAAGGATAATTTCTTACCTTCTTTCTATACAGTGTGGTTTTCCTCAGAAAGGGAGAAATCTCATGATTGAGAAGGAAAAGAACCAACTCAATTTTAATCTGTGTATCAGCTTTTTTAGTAAAAACAGGTTGGCCATGTGCTGCTACTGCTAATGGCATGCTTTTTCTTATATAGATGGCATCCTTCTGGCATTGTTTTATTTAACAGAAAAGGGCATTTAACTAACAAGAACCATTGTGGAGTTACTTGTGGCATTTCCCCAGTGCTGTATGTGTGTTTGTCAGGGAAGTGATTCCAAAAATACAAAATTTGTAGCTAGTCAGGCAGTAGTCCTGATAATTCTTTGAATTGGAAGCAACATTCCTGTAAAGGAGATACTCTTTTACTCAGAGGCAGTACCAGGAAGCAAATGCAGCACAGATCTTGTGATAGAAACAAGGAGGAGCCAGAGGTTTCTCTGGTGTTATCAATGTCTTCTTAAAATATGAAAGTCCCTTTAATCACCCAAAAATACTCAACTTTGTACTGCCTAAAAGTCTGTTTGATTTTTAAAAAGAAATTAACTCTAAATAGCTAGTTACARAAATGTGTTTCTTTTCTTAAAAAGGAAAATGTTGTGCGTTCTTTGTTGTACATAGCAACTATGTGTGGGCTGATTGTCTAAAAATACCTACTCAGAACCTGAAGAAGAGGCAGAGCATCCCACGGTTTTAGTCACATTACAGGAAGGGTTTTGGTCTGCTGCACACGAAGCAGTAGCGTAGCTGTTAGTGCACAGCAACAGTTAACGGGGCTCCAGCCAGAGCTGTCAGCATTCCCGCTGACATCAGGGACAGCTCAGGCAGTAAACAGAAAGCAGCCATGTCTGTTCTTCCTGTACTAGGGGCAAGCTAAGTAAAGCACGAGTCAGATGGAGAGCAACGAAGCTGG